ATCCCCCTTGCCCCTTTCTAGAGGCAGCTTTAGAAACACAGCCAGCTTTCATGGCAGGTTTGGGAGGAAGGATCTTGCTCCCATCTCTCACGTGGTCCCTCAGCCCGTATGTGCTTGCTGGTGACAAGTCTCTTCTCTCCCTACTGAGTGCCCTGCATCTGGATGTTGGGATGCTTCTCTTCCAAGCACGCACAGACTTCTGACACCCCTGCTTCTCCTTTCTTTCTCCATGGAAGTGGGCTGAGCCTGCAGCCTGTCCTGTATCTTCCATCCTTCCTTCCTTCCAACTGTAGCAGCTTGCACAGATGGGTCCCTTCTTTTGCTAACAGACGCCCCATTGTCTGTTGGACTCTGTTTAGAGCAGGAGCAGAAATGTAAAACTTGTCCCAAGAGCAGTGCAGTCCTTTGATCCAGCGTGGCAGCTGGCATTCCCAGCGTAGCTGCAGTCCTCAGGGAGAAAGACAGTGCTGGTGGTTGCAAAATGCTTGAGATTCTTCTAGCCAGTGCCTTGCTCCTTGTCTGCCCTCTTCCCTGGCTGTAATTGCTGTTGCTTGCTCGTTGGCTTTTGAATGTTCTGCTGCGTGGCTATGTACAAGGTGGGCCAGGGACGGTGTTTGCTTTTATGCAGCAGCAGAACTTGGCGTGCAGTGTGTGCCCAGGGGATTTCGGAAGTGGCTGTCTAAATAAAACGTGCTAATCCTCTGGGCTCTGAAAGGAAAACCAGCAGAGGCTTTGGGAACCCACTCCTGGCAGCTGCTGGAAAAGCAAAGCTGCCTGCCAGGCTGGCAGCACTGTCCTCTGTCGGCTTTCTTCCCTCTGCTAATTATTGGATGCCCTTTGTGTAGGAGGCAGATGCTATTTTTCAGCAGGGAAGATAATCCCACCCCCAATGATGGGTAAAGATGCACCTGCTTCTTTCATTGGTATTTTCTGTTGTGTTTTGCAGGGTCATGATGTTTGAAGGAAAAGCCAATGAAAGCAACCCAAAACCTTCTGGTCCACCTCCAGAGAGAGACATAGCCAGCCTCCCTTGAAGAGGCCAGGCTGAAAAACTGGCACTGTTTGCTTTGCTGGTCTGTAACAGGTTTACCTGTGCTTTGTTACTCTTTACTGTGGACAGTCCTAGTTTTCAACTAACCTGCCTTAGAGGAACAGCAAGGGAAGCTGGAGACCCCAGCTCACGTCTTTCTGCTGCATCCCTTAGCCAAGTTGATCTGTTAGACAGAAGCTGTAGCACCAAGTGTAATGTGAGACCAAAACAAAACAAAAAAATCCTGTGATCTTACTCTTTCCTCTGCCCTTCCTGCATTTCTCAAGGAGCTACTTTTCTCCCAGTGTACGGATTCAAAGTGTGCTTGTCACAACAGGTTCCTAAAGGGCCTTGCTGCCAGACATTGAGTGCTTCTCTGACAGCAGCTTCATGGATGCAAAGAAATAAGTGCCTTCTCTGCTCCATCCTACTCTTCCTGGCTTCAGACTCATTCTTCCCCCTCTGACCTTACCAAGCACAAGTCAGCTCCCACCTCTCTGTGGCCTAGTTGCATGGTAGGTGAGCGTGGGAAGGTCCATGGGCACTGGAGGTGAGTGTGGCTGACTGCAGGGACAGCAGCTCTCCGTGAGGTGGGTTCAACACCAGCCACTGCAAGTGAGGATGATTAAAGCTACCTTAGAGGCCTCCTTCCTGGTAAATCTCTACTTGGATCTGATCAGGAGCATAACTTCTGAACAGGTGGTGGTCCATCCTGTCCACTGAGTGTAGAAACTAGCCTGCTGTTACACCTTCGTAGCCCCTCAGGAAGGCTTGGGGGAATTAAACCTTCAGGTGAAAGGAAGCTAAACTGTGAGCCCTGCCAGAGCAATTGCTGATGAGGATCTGTCCTTGTGCAGCTGCTCTGTCCCTCTGATTTTGCAGCCCTCCCTGTATGTGTCAGCCTGGTCCCCTGGGGCTATCCCCATACGTTTCCCTGATGGATAAACCCTCAAGTCTGCAAAATGAGAACGGCTGTAAGTGTGGAGTATGAGCTGGGATCCAGATGTAGCTGGGACTGTGCTATCCACGCTCTGGTTACTGCAGTGATTCTTGCTCTAGACACAATTTCTGGAGCCAGATGTTTGCTCTTTGCCCTTTTCCTACTCTTTTCTTAAATGTTCTTGGCAGCTTTTAACTTTTTTTTTTTTAAAATCATGGTTTAATAAATACATTTTTAAAAGGAAATACAGATGATTAACTCCACTAGGCTGATTGTTCCTGCCAAAGGCTGCACTTTTAAATAAAAAAAACCCCAACAACATTCTCACTACTGTTTGCATGAAAGCTGAAACTGTAATGGTGAGAAAAAATTATGAGCAGAAGCAGCACCAGTCTACTTTAAGGACTGAAAATAAATCTTCTGAAGCTACACTGTGTGTCAGTGTGTTTAGTTTAGCTCCTCTGAAGCTTGGTCCATATGATTGGTTACAGATTAAGTGAGCTTGTTTCCAAGTCTGTTAATATAAACCCTTAAATAGATCCTAGAGATAGGTTTGGACTGTCTTGATCCGACTGACTGAATGCCATGGAGTTTCTGTTATGAAATGCATTCCTGAAAACTGGTGTGGGTTTTTTTTTTTTACTTACTGAAAGCAAGCAGGTGGTGGTGCTTGTTTTAAGGAATAACTTGTTTATCAAGAGCAGACACTTGCAATGTTTCTCTTGAAAGCATATTTCTTTTTTTTATCCTCCCTGCTCTTGAAGCAATTGCCTCAGGTTCTTGTCTGATGTGTTATCAAAATGGGGACCAGGCTTCCTGGGGGAATGTCTGGGTATACTTCTTCCGTGTCTCCCTCAAAAGGACAGAACTGTCCTTAGATCACAGCCCTGTGTCTTTCTGCTGCCTATTAGCCTCTGGGAACGCACCTGCTTTTCTGGGCTATGTGTGTTAAAAGCTGTTGTTCAGTTACAAAATAAAGGGACTGTATTACACAATGGAAATTTGGATGTGGTTTGCCACAGTTCAAGTCACTGCCCAAAGCCATCGCTGCTTTTGTCTCTGTGGAAATCCGTGTCCTTCTGGTCCTGGAGAAGAGCAGCACAACCTGCTGGAGCTGAGAACAGCCTTTCTCAGTGTCCTCGTCACCACAGGGCTAGTGCTGAAGCGATGCACTCTCTGTGCTGGCACTTCGACTGTGGGCTGAACCCCCCTGAACTGGAGGCAGGAGGGAGCAAGAAAAGGAACTTGAGTCCTGCTGTGACTGGAAGAACTTGTGCAGGTTTTGTGGGGCCCTGGTGCACAGCAGGGCTCTCCCCCCTCCCACAGCTCCCACCTTTCCAGCCTGGCTGCACATAACATAGGTGCACAGGGACTGACCCCGAGCGTTGGAGCGTGTGCTCCCACTGCAGTCAGAGAATCATTTGGTTGGAAGAGCCCCTCAAGATCATCAAGTCCAACCGTTCACC